CACTTTATCAGCCACGTTAGAAAAGTTATGCGACGATTTTTATTTGGTAGCCTTATTTATATGCAGACTGTAGTTTTTGCAAATTTAGACTTTTACTAAGCACAATCATACACAAATTGCCTTTGGACTGCACAGGGAGTTTATTAAATACTTTTGCCAGCGGTTTTTAGGTGCCACTTGATGAGCTGTGTGGGCCAAAGAAATATTTGCGGATGCTGTCCGCTATCGAAGTTCAAGAACTAAGTGTAAACTCGAACTGAAGAAAGTCAAGCTCCATTGGGCCGCTGGGCAGCCGACAACAACAATTGCCTCGCATTGCTCGTGCAGCAGTTGATAAAACTCTGTTCTTAACTGCCGTCTGGTGGTGATTGCAATTGCAGTGGCTGGGACGTCTTTGGCACTGCCGCATTGTCGTTTGTCTGATGAGTTTTTAAGTACAAACAATTACAAACGACAAATGCAACAGCAACAAGAGCAACAACTTCAATTGTAATCCTAGAATCGTGCCACAGTCGCTTAGCTATTCACTCAACTCTGTGGCCCTTTTGTGTTGTGGTCCATCGCAGTCTGTTGGGCAGTTTAGTTGCGTAATTGAATTAAATTACATTTTGGAATGTAAATGCCTTTGTTTTGCTTTTGCTCAGCAGCTTCAGACGGTTCTTTGATTTAGGCTAATTCTAAATTGCCATTTGTTTGCAGCGTGTGACAAATCTGTATATTGTATATAATGTGCTAAACGGAAACAAAGCACTTTATGAAACAGAGAATGTTTCAGAAATTGTATTAATTTTTTGGAATTGGCTCAGAAGCCAATGTAGGCATTATGCGAACATGAACATAATAAATTAAAACCATTTACCAACACTGAAACTTATTTATTTAGACTCCTTTTCTTCCTGATTTCCCTGTAAAATCTGATTAATAAATAAATAAATAAATTAGATATTTACAAGCCTCCTGGGAATGTTCTGAGAAAACGTTAGAGCTTCTAGTCGGGAGAGCTGAGTGAAGAGATAAAAGGGGCTATATCTAAATGCCTCATTTTGAATGAAGATCCCGACCAGATTTTCCATTATTGAATTTATGCCCCATGTATCACACGTCCAGGGATAAACAATTATATTGTTAAATAATAAAGTTAAATCAAATTGAAGGGCCCAACAAGCAGATTAACCTCTTTCGTCTTGTATTTCTGGCATTCTAATAAGTAATAACTAAATGAAGTATTCTAGGTAATACGTATATATTTTAAAATATGCCGTAGAAGGAAATGATTGTAAAATTATCAAATTAATTCGCGAAGTGTACTCGTCTAATCGAAATCAAACAGACACAATCAATTAAATATGCAGATACACTGCCAGCAAGAGGACTAAAGTGAAAGAGACAAAATAAAAGCTAAACATGACCAAAAAGCCGCTTAGTTTCAAAATGTTCGTTTACCTGCGATTTTAATGTGGGTGTTCGCTTTCGGAGTAGGGATAAATACCAGGGCGAGCCCGAGGACGACGATATGGCCGAGGTCAATGGCATGTAACAGCGATGACATGCGAACATTTGCGCCACGCACTGCCGTTGCTCATTAATTAAAAATTGGAAAACAGCAACAACAATGACAACGACGACAACAACAACAACAAAAACAACAGCAATCCTGTGGCGGCTGCCTTGTGACAATGACACACACGTGACACATACGTGTGTGAAACGGAGCTGACACGGTGCCGAGGACTTACATTGCCGGCTGACTGACAGCGAATGCCACAGATGCCGCTGATGGGCCCAACAGAGTGCCTAGCAAAAGTTTATGTATTAAATCAGCAAAGCATATGACAGGATTATACTTATACCCTTATATGAATCATGTCCGACTCTATGGGAGGCACAAGCTTAACGCGTATTCCAGCTAAAACATTCTTGACTAACTGATATTTAACAAAAAATGGCACATTCGCTTAAACGTTTATTTTTTATTTCTATTGAAAAGTGCATTTCTCTAATGATAGTAAAAACTTTTTTGGCAGCAACATCAGCATTATGTTGACTTTAAAAAACGAACCCTTGCATGTAACCCCAGGCGCGCATTGTTGCCAATGTTGCAAGCGCAGCACAAAAGTGCCAGATAATCGCCGGCTAATACAATGAATGACCGCCCCCCGGATGCGGATCCATTCGTATTGCCATTAAATTCAATTACATGACAATAACGTGGCGCTTATGGCGCTGCGGTTCACGAAAAATTGAATATAAAAACAAAGCTGCAGCTGATAAAAACTGCGAGCTAAAGCCAAAACTAAAGCTGCTGCGACGCGTGCACAAGTGAGAGCGCAGCCAGGAGAAAGCGAGAGAGTGGGCGGGAGCGCCGCCCACCATCTGCGAGAAATTATGATTAGCTTTTGGTAAAGTTTTCCACCCAGTCAGCAGCCACTTGAAAGCTGCCATTGCATACTTTGCGGCATCCAAGCCGAGCCACTGCATCCGTTGTTAGTCAGGCGTGCGAGACAGTTCTGGACAACTCTTGTGCTCGCTCCGTGACAATGGGGCCAAAATTGTGCAACGCTTGTGTTTCGCTCGGCATTCTAATGGTCGGCGCGTTGTGTGTGGGCTACTTTGTGTAATCGCTACATAATCCGACCAAAATTACAATAAAGTTTCGCCCTCCCATTAAGCTGTTTTTCGAAAACAAAAGCGCGGATTATGCTTAAGTTGTGTGTTCGACTGAAATTGCAGCATTCAAATTCGTAGCCCTGACCTTCGAATAGGAAACCTGTCCTAGAATCCTTGTCCATAAAATATTTAACATTCAGAACGAGTGTGAAAGGTGTCGAGAATTCCACAATTCAGTGGGTTGAACTCAAGACTTTCATGCACATTTTGCACTTCCTTTTTTGATTCTAGAAAGTATTCTTAGTTTTAGAGTTAAGCCCGATATTTTAGGAGATACGGACGCCGAGTTCGTCGTCTTTATAGAGGTATATAAACTGTCGGCCAAGCATTATTTATTTATTTATTATGTTGGCAGCTTTCAGGTTATCTTGAATTGAACAATATAATCTTAAATAACTAACCAAATCGACAAATTATAGACTCAGCAGTTAATAAAAATATATTTTCCACGATCAGACATGCATAATTTTGACCCTCGCTTTTATAGGTACATGACTAACTAATTAAGTATTTATACTAACACACATATTTTTTAGCATATTTTAGGATCATCTAAAACGAAAGTATTTAGAAATTTAGTCTGAGTTTTTGCACTTAGCTGGATGTAAAAATTCAGATAAATAAAAGAAGATTTTTCTGATTTTTGCATATACTTTAATAATATTATTAATATTTAAATATTAAATAAAAATGTTCTGTTGTAGAGATTTACAGTTTATTTTCCGCTTTTTTATATTTTACCTTGATCCATAATCAGTTATCTACACATAAGTATTTACATAATATTGTCATTTAAGTCAACAATTTGCATATATTTGGGTACGCTCAAGATGTTATTTTTCCTGTACGAAAAGACAATTTGTCACAATCACAATTATTTCATTCGCAAAATGACAGGCAAATGAAAACCAAGCAGCTGGAAAACAAGCCAAGTCAGTTCCAGGGTGTGCTCATCGTTTGGATGGAGTTGCTGTCTAACGACATTCTGGGCCTGCACAATGATGCAGCAAACATGGCCGGAATATGTATGCAGGAGGCGACGACACCTGAAGCCAACACCCAAAACAGTTTTGCGCCACATTTTGTCATAATTTTTAGTTAATTTCAAAAATGCAAATCATCGATGCCAGGTCTTGGATCCACAGGCACTGCTGTCTAGTGTCCTGGCACGTCCTGGCATGTCCTGGCATTTCAGCCTTTTGACAAACTTCGGCATAGTCGCTCATTTGGGCGCAGGCTTGTTAAAACTATGCAATATTTCAACGACCGCCCGTGTAGGATTTCTATTCTTGTTTCTCGGAGCGTGTACGAGTTGCTGCCTCCGGGATCTTGTTGTATTCGTCAATCCTTACGGAGCTGGGCACATTTGGGCTTTGAGCAATTTGTTTGGCTTTTGTTTGTTTGTCTTGGCTTACATGCATAGTTTCTGTTCAAGTTTTTGGAAAATAACTTCATAATTCTCTCAGTGCAGTTTGCCGAACGCAGCATCACGATATGGTCACGATTGTTTAGAAATTTTCCTTATCAATATTGATGTTGGTATTGAGACTACTTCAAATTTTATACATTTATTTGTAAATAAAGTTGTATAAACTTAATATGGGCTTTATAGCGACTTATATTTTTATGGAATTTTTAAGCGTATTATTAAATTTGCTAAATATGTATGTCAAAGTCACGTATAGCTTGACTTGCATGTTATTATTTATGGATCATATGCGATAATTGATTAATTAAATTTGCTTAAACTGGTTGCAATCTAGGAAAACTGTCTACTAAAACAAGTTTTTAAAAAATCAAAGAAACTTTCATTACTTCTGCTGCTAATTGAAATAAGGAAAATCTTTAAAATCGCAGAGATCCAGTTGGATTGCCTTTACTGATTTGTTTAAAATACTGAAAAAATATACAAATATAAATATGGCTAAGATAAAAACACAAACAGCTTAGACTATAGCAATTGCTGAAAGTTAATTATTTTCAACTTTAAAGCTGCCATACTTATCGTACTTATAAATATAACTCTGGATGAAAAGTTGTTCTGAAGCTTTCGGTAACAATAAAAGCTCGGCTTAAGCGAGCTGCCGCTTAGCGCTAAAAGCTTCGAAAGCTTTGCTACAGACGTTGCAGATGCTGGGCAGAGCCGGTTTTGGTGATTGCGTATGCGCCACCGACGCCGACGTCGACGATGCCGCTGTCAGATGCATTTTGCATAAAGTTTTTAACAGTTATTGTTGTTGTTGTTGTTTAAAGGAACAACAACACAAACAAGTTGACGAGCACATTTAAAAAGTATTCGACGCAAGCTCAAAGCGAACAGTTGACTCTGAGACGACGACGCGTGCGCACAACGAATACGGCAACGGTAAATAATGCAAGCTGGGCGTGGAATAAATGAGAATGGAACATGGCAACAAAGTGCATGAAACGTGGAAATCTTGATGAAAATAAGCTTTAATATGTGTTAACAAATGTTGCGTGTTAATTACCCTTAAGCTCAAGTGAATTCTTGCGACATATTTTGTAAAAAGCTTCTCTTTGCACAGGTTGAACTGTTAACAAAATGGCGTCTCTGAAAATCTGCATATTTGCTCTGCTCGTGGGTAAGTGGAAATTTCTCTCATTGCCGACGCCAATTAATGAAATGGCATTAACAGTCAAAATATAACAAGCACATTTATTCAAATAAATTGTGCATCGCAAACAATTAGCATTCATTTGGGCACCAGCTGAAACGTTGGCATTGCAAATGCGTATTAATAGTTGCAACAACTTTTTTACACCATAAATCAACTGCGAATTTCAACAGTCGACAACAGAATTTGAACAATTTGATTGCTTTTGGTGTTTTTTTTGGTTAACTTTCGCTTAGCATTAAAATTGCATTTACATATTTCTATTTTGGCAGCTAACAAATAGATGTGTCAGCGGCCATTTATTTCGTTTAATTCATATTTCACACATACATTGTCTGACAATTTGCATAGTATTTGGCTTCCCATTTGCCAGTCGGAAATTCAACAGTTCACTCAGCATATTTTTGGTTTGGCGGTTCATTAAAAATTTGTTGCCACCCTCGATGTTCAAATGCGAGTGTGCGACATGTTTTAAATTGTATTTTGTTAATTTTCTGGTCGCACAAAAGTTAAATTGATATGCAGGCAACTGTTGCGTCTGTGAGTGTAAAACATATTTTGTAATTATGTTAAAATGGCCATGAAAATTATTGGCAATTGTTTGCGACGCTCCCTCATTAAATGTGCGAACTAATTGGCGAGTGTGGGCGTCGAAAATGGAATTTTTGTTTAATTACGGGCCAATTTTGTGTGCAGAATTGCAAATAGCTGGTAACAATAGAATAAGCTAACATTCCGATAGTAAAAACATATGCAACGAAAATAAATTAAATTGACATTATTTTATTTGGTGTAGCATTCCTTAATTATTTTTAGTCAACTATTAATCTATATCGATAGCCTTTAAATTTAAAAAGTTTGCGATATCCCAGTTTCACACCAACAATGCTTGCGCCCTTCTACGCAATTCTCATACCAACAAATGTGGCCTCAAGAGAGCAGTCTAGACAACATTAATTGGGTCTTACTGCTTAAAAGGCTTGATTAACAGTTCAATGAGCGACTTAAAAAAGCATTTCAAGCTGTTTAATTTTAATCTATTCAGTGTTCAATGAACTTAACACGCATGTTCCACGCCGATTTATTACTGTGACGACAGCTCGACACCCACAAAAATTGTGTGACTCGAATTCAATTTGACGAAAGCAAACAAGGCACAAAAACGTTGATTTTTTTTTTTATTTCATCACAGCGGTAGCTAAGGCACTCAATTAATCTAGTTTAACCGGACTGGAAACGAAGTCAAAGCGGTCGGGGACAGGCGACAGTTGTCGCAACCGGGATTCTATGATAAACTCGTTGACAAACGGTCAGATCGACGGTCGATGGTCTAGTAAAAAACTCAAGCCGCATTGCCAATGACTATGCGACTCTTTACTTGCCACGATAATCAAATAAATAAAAAGAACTGTCTAGTATAGCTAAAGATTATATAAAGTTATATTTGCAATAAACAAAGAACACAATAACGAACTAGCAATTTAACGCGGTCCTATATGCGATTCTCATATGAATGAGTAACACCTTTTAAAGACCATAGCCAAAACTAGACTAGACTAGTTCATGTTGCAAAGCCGATGACAAGTTCACCGCAACCGGCCAGAGGGCTAGAGTATAACCAAAATCAACTACGAAAGTCATAGCGACTTTTTCTGTTTTTGTGCGTTTTTCTCTTTATATTCTCTTTTTTATTATTTTTTTTTTGGCCAAGTCGTGTACGAAACGTGTTTCAATGACAAGCGGCAGCTGCAGTGGCAACAACAACTACAACTATAACAACTTGTTTCTTGTTGCTGTTGCTGTTGCTGGTGTTGGTGTTGGCGGCAACTGCGGCTGCGTCGGCTTAAATGTTGCCTGACACTTTACGCACTAATTGCTCTGTGGAATTGTTTCTTTATTAACGTTTAATCGAATGTCAGGCAGTCGCAGTCGCAGTCGCAGTCGCAGCCTCAGTCGCAGTCGCACTCCAACAGACAGAAACTTGTCGGCATTGTTGGCGGCTCGAAAATTTAATTGAATTCGTCTTTTCTTGTATTTCTGTGTGCCTTGGTCGTGTTTTTATGCAGTGTTGCTGATTAAAGTGGTTTACCTTGAAGTGCCTCAAGTATGCAAGTTGTTGCAACTTGTCGGAAGTGCATGGCAATGGCTGTGATGATTGAGTGAATGGACTCTGCCTTGTCTTTGTCTCCTCTTCTAACAGCTGATTGGCAATAGAAAACAGCTGACTTTGTGCATTTGCGACTGTATCCAATCGATATGCTTGAAGTAACTTTCACTTTTAAGGTCGCATACCTGATTACCCTATGTCACAATCCAGCCAGACCACAAGGCAGGAAAGCAAAACACGCTAACTTATATACATGTCTGCATAAATTAAGTTCGAACAACTGGTTTTAAGCGTCTAAAAATGAAACAAATAAACAACCAAAACTTGCCTTGCATGCACTCAACAAAATTATGGCTGTAGTTGGTATTGTTTACCGGCCGGCATTTGGCAAGCGAAATAACAGTTCGTAATACCAAAGAATATCTGAACAAATCTTAAAATAAAAACAACATTGTAATAATTTAATGATTAATTTTTTCTTTGTTTCTACATTGCAAATACTTGAAAGCTTGATTCATGTTTCAAAAGATCCCATTAAAAAAGTAATTATTTTAATAATACAAAAATAATAAAACGATTAATAATAGTAATGAAATTAATAAAAATAAAAAAAATAAAAAATAAAAAATAAATAAAAAAAACATTCTTTCTTTAATCCATAAAACATATGACCATATACTCAATTTTGAATTTTTTTTTATATAATATTTATATAATTGAACAACAACAATCATCAGATGATCCAGTTAACGTGCTCGAATTCGAAGGCTAGTGTAGTTTTATTGTCTAAGTCGAAAGCCACTTTAGTTAACAAAAAATAATTAATAGAAGTTCCCTCTCTCTCTTCCTCTCTCTCTCTCTCTCTCTCTCTCTCTCTCTCTCTCTCTCGCCCTCTCTCTCTCTCTCTCTTTATATATTTCTCTCACTCTCTGTATATTTAACAGTTCAACATTTAAATGTTACCAACTGCCTTATATATAGTCATGCAATGTGTATTTAAATAAACTGTAGGGTATTGCGCAATGTTCAAAGTTTTCAATTCAATTTATTCGTGTGTGGAATTTTATATTTAACATTATGTAAATATTTATTTATTTTTTTTTTTTGCACAGGAACAACGCTTGCTCAGCAGCGCGAACGTGGCAATTTCCGGGTGGGTGCTGGTCATCCGCCATCCCAACGTCACTTGCCGCAAAGGACGCGTGATCCCGTTCAGGAGGCTGCCGAGGAGCCAAAACGCAAGCAAGCCCAGGAATATGAGCCCAGCGACGAGTGCCCAGAGCCAAATGGCTTCTATCCGGATAATAAGCAGTGCGATAAATACTACGCGTGCCTGTAAGTTCCATCATGCGGCTTCTTAAATAAAACTTTAAGGTCAGGATTTACGAGTGACACACTTGAAAGTTTGAATATATGAAGATAACAAGGATAAAATTTAATAGACATTATTTAAAAAATTGCTGCCAGGTTCTGCATTTAAAAAATGTGGATAAATATTTTTAAAATATTATATAATCTATATTTATTCAACCCATTTGTGAATCACTTTGAACTCCTATGGGATACATGCTTCCTGTAAGCAAATGATGTGTATAAATATGCTTTGCTCATCTTTCGCGCCATTGGCCTCAGGTGAGCGAAGCCAATGATTCAGGCGTGCTCGAAAAGTGTTGAAATATGAATTGACTCAAATGATGTGTAAGCTCTATGGGGACATAAAAAGTATAAAGCTTAAACGAGTCAAAGGATGACGTACACTGAGACACTTTCTTATGTAAAGCTAAGATCTGCTTCAGGCAAGCTAATTTAATTTTAAGCTGCATTCAATATGGTTTTGTATAAACTGCAATAGTTTATATTAGCCAATTAAAAATTAAAATTGACACTAAGCTACCACAACATTGGGATATAAAAGAAATTTTCTCTCAGTGATAATACTTTTTGTTTTTAATTACAGAGATGGCGTGCCCACGGAACGACTATGTGCGGATGGCATGGTCTTCAATGACTACTCACCCAGCGAGGAGAAATGTGATTTGCCATATAACATTGATTGCAGCAAGCGCTCCAAGCTGCGTGAGTATAAAACCTGAGCGCCCATCTGGGAGCTGTGACAAGTTCGGTTCTTAAATGTATTTTAAGTATGCGGAGCGTGTTGTTCATTGGCAAACGCAGCGAAGAATCTCACGCTTGCTGCTATATTTAAACCTGACCAAAATCAACCCAATAATCACGAGCCGTGCCCGCACTTATTTGCTCGTTACTCGCACTTTGGCTTTAAAACGCGCAAGAGGAAAAAATACTTATTTATTATGCAAACGGCATGCGAGGTGGTTAACCCAAATTGTTGTCGTCAATAGGTCTTGGGTCTGGGTTGGGGGTATGGTTAGAGTTTGTTCTTGTTTTGGTGCTTGAATTTTATTTCAGCTATTTCTTGGTAGACTCGTTTTATTTTAGATTTTATTATTTTATTTTGTCACGCTCAGTAAGGTTTTATGTGAGCATATCAGGCGTCACGTGGCCTCAAGGCTTTTTTGAAGTATTCTGCATGACAGCTGATGCCAATTTTCACATCTGTATGCAGAGTATTCAAAGCAAAGAGGCTTAAAAATCCTTTTTCAATTTACAATTAGTGATCTTTTCTCTGAACTCCATTACATTCTCATTTGATATGCCATGGTTTTTTTCTGCAATTAGGAGCATAGCATCTACAAATTTAAATAAGTAATTGTTCGTCCATCAAAGCAATTAGCACACTTTATATGAGCCCACTAGCAATTTCAATTGCGTTTGCCTTTTGTCCAACATATGGGTCCAGTTTTTCACACAAAAGTAGCTTCTTTTATGTAAGGACCCCTCTTCATAATCTATTTAAGTCTACGCTCTCCGGTCGCCCATGCAAAGGAAGTGCCCAGCGTTGGCCCACAGGAAGTTGGTCATGCTAAGATATGTGCTTCCAGTTGACCATTTCATAGTATGTTGCATTGTTGGCAAACTACTCGGGCAGTAAACTTTCAGTTTAGAGCATAAACAAGTGCCGGCAAGGAATGTTCCTTGGACACTGCAAACTGGAATATTTAGAAACAAAGCACGAGAGCATATGGAGAGTACAGCAATACGGATATAAAGTGCATAAAAAAGACTGAAAAAAACTTAAAAGAATCGTTAGCAAAAAGAGAATTCAATATGGGCTTAGGCACTTGAAAAAAATTTGTAAAATTGTAAAATCATTTAAGGCTAGTTTGAATTGGAAAAAGAAAATGAACATTTAAGTTTGGCGTTGGGTACGCCCAGAACAGTTTGATATAAAGAAAAAATCATTTGAAAAAAAAATACTTATAATCAATTCTCAATCTCTTTAAAATAATATTTGCCTTCGCAGAAACTCCACAGCCCTCACAGCATTGTCCGCGCAAGAACGGTTACTTTGGCCATGAGAAGCCCGGCATTTGCGACAAGTTCTACTTCTGCGTCGATGGGCAATTCAATATGATCACCTGTCCAGTTGGGCTGGTATTCAATCCAAAAACTGGCATCTGCACCTGGCCCGATGAGGTGGGCGTTACTGGATGCAAGTCGGAGGACATATTCGAGTTTTCGTGCCCCAAGGTGAACGAGAGTATTGCGGTTACACATCCTCGTTACGCGGATCCCGACGACTGCCAGTTCTTCTATGTCTGCGTGAACGGTGATCTGCCACGTCGCAATGGCTGCAAGCTTGGCCAGGTGTTCGACGAGGAGAACAAAACCTGCGACTGGGCACGAAAGGTGCCAGATTGGTAAGATCTGCCGAGTCGAACAAAATGTGGCGAATTACTATGAATTTTTCAATTCAGTGCTGACTGGTATAAGGATCGCTTAACCGATGCCGAGCTGGACGAACTGGAGAACCCCAAGCCAAAGTCAACGACCACCAAGAGGCCGGCGCGTGTGCGTGGAGCCTCTAGACGTAAGCCGCAGCCGAAGGTCGTGAAGGAGGAGGAGCCTGAGGAGGAGTAGCTGGTCCAATTGTCGACTGTTTAATCTTAAGTTTGACTTTCCTGATAACAAATAAAAGAACCATTTGACATATCATGTCCATATCAATTCTGTATAGTCATAAGTTTATACTGAAATTGAACTAAGCAAATAGATACATAATTTAACTTGCCTACAAAGGAAATTTATTAGCCATACATATCATGATAAACTTCTCTATATGTATTAGTTTCATATCTTGAGCTGAGGCCAACAAATGTTTTCCAGTCTGTTTTCCACAGACAGCTTGCAAAACAACTACAATGTTGCCCATAAAAACGACAACTTCAATATGCGTTCAGATTTAGCGAGCACAACATAAGACGCTGCCAAAATGACTGGATTTGTATGCAGGATCCCAATCCAAAAGGGGGTGTACTCCCATTTACTCCCTAGTTTAGAAGATGAAAATCAATGCATCCCTTCCTTCCAATCTCTCTCTCTTCCTCTCTCTGCCCCTCGTGTTGGTGTTTTAAGTGTGTCTGGTGCTGCCTGCAGCGCATAAATTCAATTTGCCGTTCAGCATGCACAAAAGTATGCAACAAAATAGCAACAACTCGCGAACACACACACACACTGACACACCCAAACAGCCAACGCACACACACACACACACTCTTAACAGATACTGTGGACATGTGTATGACGTTTGGCAGACAAGAAGCATTTGATAAAACGCATCGAAATTGTATTGTGAAAATTGTGAGCAGTTGAAAGACGAGATTTACAGTGGCCATTGCCAGGGCGGATAGGGATACAGTGAAAGGGGGGAGGGGGACGCGATGGAGGCCAAATCGTAAATTGCATTGTTTAAGTAGCAAAGTAAAATCTCAGACAACGATAAGACATTTCACTTGGCAATGTGGAAGCATTAGTTTATGCATTGCATTCAGGGGACAATTGGCAACGGGCAAGAGGATAAACTGATAACAATAAATTGATAAAGAAATTGAGGTAATATGATGGCAATATCATTTCAAGCTGGAATGGTAATATCCAGGCGAATTAAATCTGACAATAGGACAACTATTTTTTAATGCTTATATTCTACTTTATTCATGCTGTGATTAGTTAAACAAATTATTTTCTAGTGCAAGTAATTAAATTACTGTATTATGTGCCCTGCCGTCTTCCACATAAGGTCTGCGTTAATATGCAATAAAAGAAGCAGACTTTGGGAATAATTACTGCAATCAACATTTGGACTCAACCGGGGTTGCTGAACCAAACCTCATTAAATTCTCGTTATCAATTAATGTTTCAGGGAGGCAAAAAGGATTTAAATATTCCTACTACGACCTACAAACTTCAAATAGAATGTAGGCTATCATTTACCATAGCCGGATTAATTTTTTTCAAGCGCTCCACTTAAGCAAACTCGATAAATATCGAAAGCTTTTCCTAGCTTCTAGTGCATATCCCTTAAACAGTAAAATCGTTTGCAGGAATCCCCTTGCCTCTTGTTGCACACACATATTTGAATGCTCTTGTGAAGCCCTGCACCTCGGCCTGATCGAATTAGAGGCCCTAAAGTTATTAAAAAATGAAAGGAACAGCTTCAATGCGTACATAATCAATAGCTTCATTTAATGACGTACTTCAAATATGGGTATGTCCAAGTTAAACAATTTAAGCCAAGCATCAAAGAGTGTTAAACCAGGCATAAAGCCCTCAACCATGCCAGACCGTGCCCAGCCTGATGGTTGTATCTTTGTTTGGTGTTAATGAACAGCTCGATTCCACTCAACTCAACTCAATGCGACTCGACTCCATTCGTCTCCTCCCATGGAATGAATGGCGACTTATGACGCGGTCACTGGCGCACGCACATGACCAGCATAAGAGCCAGGGAAACCTGTTAGCCAGTTGCCTTTGGCTTCTAATTAATCAACCAGCCAAAGCTGTCCAGCAGTCACGGGGCAAACACTCGCAGTAGCGTGCAAGCTGGCGTCACGCTGTCAATAATTTGGCACGTCCTGTGACCTGGCCAACACTTCCTCATCCGCTGCCTCATCGACGCCAACGATTCGAAACTGGGGCCAGAGCACCTGCTGCTGAGGGCGTCATCTAAAAAGCATTTCGTCGAACTCAGCGCCTACTTAATCAAGCGTAACATGGACATGTCCGAGCGCACCTGCTGGCTGACATATTGCGCCGCGACAGGCCCTTCCTTCCTCCAGCTTGCTCCAGCCACACGCTCAGCCAGTCGCTTAGGTTCGGTTTTGTCTTTGCCTAGCCAGCCAATGCGTGTGTGTGTGTGCTTAGACACACTGGACACACACACAGGCACTTACGCACACATGCACACTAGGACCCACTTGCAACTCGTATCAAATGTCAAATTTGACATTAACAAGTGTTTACATAATGACAACAACAATTTGCGTAATTGTCACAGACAGCAGAATCGCGTCGGCGTTGGCGACGTTGCCTGCCCCCAGCTTGTCCAGTGTCCTTTAAAGCTTTCCTCTACTTTGTGCTGTCTATGCTGTGCGTCAAGCACTTGACTGGGGACGTATTCTCTTTGTGTCTGTTTTTTTTTCCAGTTTGACTGTCGACTGAAGATCAGCAGCAGGAATTAAATTAAATTATAGGGCGCAACAAAAAAGGATTGAATTTTGAGATGGTAAAGTATATGTGAGAAATCAAACCAGTTATACTATGTCGTAATATTTTTAATCAATATTCTTGATCAGCTAAGATCAAACAGTTCGTCTGAAGATGCCGTCTCAAAGACTACAAAATATTTAGAGTAAAGTTGTGAGCTTTTTAGATTTTTCAAACACGATCCATTTGTATAAAAAAAGTTTTTCCTCACTGACCAAATGACGGTATGACTGACTGAACGTTGATCAACAACAGGCCAAATCTATGTAGCTTCTTTTTCGGTCGGGTTTTTCGAAAATTTGAAATGCAAGTGCTCTGCAAATGCAAAAAAGGGTTTTCAGAGCTTGTATAAAAAACAGCACAGCATGATTCACAATTTATAAGTAGGAATTTGTGTGACGAGTTTCACATTCAGCGTTTACATATTTGGTCGATTGAACCAAAAAGTGTGATTCAAAATATTAGAAGTTTACGCTTAAATTTCATTTTTGAGTCAATGGAATCTTTCAACGCAGACTTTTGCGATTATGATACAAAATTCGCTTGTGCAGCAAAAACATAGAGGAGCTGGATTCAAAGTCAACTGGCTTTGTTGTGCCGAAAAGGATGTATCCTGGGATAATCTCATGAATTGCAAGCAATTTGGTGTTTAGCTCAACCCAAAATTAAGGCCTTGTGTTTTTCCGCGTACGAGTCCTGGCATTGAATCAGCATCCTGTGCCTGGTTTGCTTGGATGGCCGATGGTTGTGTCTGGTAACAGCATAATGTGGGCTCCCATCAAAAACGAAAGAAAAGAAGACAAAAAATATGCCAATGCCTTGTGCTGGACAGAAGTTGATTGTTTGCTCCTTGGGCTATTTGCTTACTTGATGAAATAATTAAATGTCATTCATTGAGGCCCTTTGCAGCAGCTGCTGCCAGTTTGCCTTTGCCCGTTCCGTGTCTGCCTGCCTGCCTGGCTGCCTGCCTTTCGTAATTGTTGACCACTTGCGCATATCCTTTTTGCGCCTTTGCTTCTGTAACTAATTTGTGCAGACGCCTTGGGGCGGTGTCCTTGCGCCCGACGCTTTGATTTCAGCCAGTGCACCCACCCGCCCAGCTATTCCTTCGGCAAGTTCATTAAACTTTTGTCGGGCCTTCACACACAGTTGGCTAATTAAGTGCTGCACACTTTCGGGCTGCCCAAGTTTAATGAACCGACTCCACGGATGTCACACCTGACGCATCTCGTCGCCAGCTCCAGCTTCATTTGCATATTCATAAGCCCGTCATCGGCCAGTTTTTGGACTTAAAATGATTTTAATTCATTTTATCAGGCGCTGTCTTGGCAAACTTCTTTCGCCTTGGACACTTTTAGACTAAATGCCAGGCAACTGGCAGCTTCTTCTTTTCTTTTAATAAAAAACGTATTTTTGTTTATTTTATTATAAAACTTAAGACATTCTCAAAAGTGCCTTAAAAGCGAGTCTATGTTTCTCGGGTGATTATTTAGATCTTCAGCAACTTTCATTCATCCGATAATACTTTAAATGTGTACATAGAGTCAAAATATATTCGTTTCTCCAAAATTTATGTTCTGTCATACTAATTTTGATCGTACTCCCTTAATTGTTTTTGTTTTTTATTTGCGCAACAGCTCTTAATGTGCTAAAGCGAAAATAGTTTCTAAGCAAAATAAATAATGTTCCAAATAAATTTTAGCCACTTGTCAAATTTTTTGCTATTTTGCATAACTTAAAGCGATTGGCAAACCAAATGCCAACCTAAAATTGTCAAAAAGTTATGAATTTGCTTGACACACACACACACACACACATGCACACACGCACACACGCACACATAGCTGGAGCAATTGCATTACAATTAAAGTGCAGACAATTTAACTACTGCAGTTGCCGAGTTACCGCAGCACAGCAAAAAGTTTCACTCGCCTTAGATAAATCACATAAATTTATTATGATGATGGCATAAATCATAGGGCCATATATAAAATTGCAGCATAGTTTTGTTATTATTTTTTCTCGTTGTGGGCATTGTTTTCGTTCTCTAAACGCCGCAAAATATGCAATACGTGCGGCCAGTTGACAGTCCGAGCGAGGCCCAGAACCCGCACCAGGACCAAAAAACCCTGTCAATGTTTGCCCTGTCCTGGAATGCCCCGCTGCGGCGCAATTTTCGGACAGTTGCACCCAAATATGAGCAGCACCCTTTGGGTTCATTGCTCAAAAATCACAAAAATTTGTTGTTGTATGAAAATTATTTTCTTGTTTTTATGTCAGGCTGGTTTTTGGCATCCCTTGGCAGAGCTGTTAGTGCCTGCATTCGGCCGATTTTGCAATTTGTTTTTAGAGCCTTGTATTATTGATACCCTACAATTTTGCGAAAGGAAGGGCTTATTAATGTTATATAATGTATCGTATTTTCTAGAGAATTTTTTA